GACCAAAACAACAAGTCATTCCTCCAAACACCCAGATAAGCCATGGTCGCGCACTCACCTTAGTGATCACGTACGTCCAAGAAAATAGCGATTGAAAATAACGTTTCGGGCGGTTGCGGTTGAAACGCCATTCCTGGCAGTTTGAAACACCGTTCTGGGCGACTGGCGTATGCAGAAATCGCGTTTCAAGTCAGATTAGATTTCTTGTTTTTGGACCGAAAAGTGTTTCTTGGCCAGAACGAAACACAAATAACTCATTGGGTTTACGTCAGATTGAAACTTTGAAACCCGATCTAGATTCCTTGCAGCTACACCTTTCTAAAGACACCAGAACCATTCTCTGATTCCACCTAGATCAACGGCAAATAACCTCCAAATTAAGCTCCGTGAATTTGGAAACATGAGCAATTCTGAGACAGTTTCTGGTTTTCTAGGAAAAACTGCGATTTAGGACAAATTTTAACTGAGAATTATGAACGCGTCTTACCTTGGATTGGATATCGAAAAGATGCTCCAGAAACTACGAACCGAGATCTATCTAACAGTATGAAAATCGCCTCTTAGATACGAATAAGATGATCGTGAGAGGTTCTGCAAAAGGCTACCACGAAACAGATATGAATGGTGCACAGAACCGATGGTGGCGGCTCTAGATGGATTCCGGCAGAGCAACGCTATCATAATTCTCTTCTTCTGACCTCTAGCCACGAGCAGCACTTAAATAGGTGAGTAGGGAGCTAGGTTTAGGGTTTACACCCATCAGAAAAAATTGAAATGCCCTTTCTTTAAGTTTTGGGCTTTTGCATCAATTCCCAAAGATATGGCTCTAGGGTTGTGAGTTTATTGGGATTGAGCCAAAACCCAAACCTCAAACCCAGGAATTTAACAAAAAATAAACCATTTGGTCTAATTCCGTCTTCAATTTTGATTCACAAGCGTTATAGCGATAAAGATCCTAAAGTCGCTATGTGAAAATGCAATGTATAAGCAAAGGGAGTAACATGAAAGGTCAATGAAATCTTCACGATGCTAGGAAACGTACATTCATCTGAGAGAACAAACTAACCAAACGAGACCCAAGGGTCGGCAAGCAACTAAACAAGCTATCCTCAACACTCGTTTACGAGGCACATCGAGCAACTAAGGCACATTTGCTAGTAGTGACTACACTAGCCTAAGGCTCAATACGCACAGTAGCTCAACCAAGATCCCACTTTGATGCTAATCACCACCTCGCTATAACTAAACCCAAGCCTCACTAGGTCCTCCAAAAAAGACGAACAAAACACAACAAGCACTAGTATCGAAACCCGACCAAAACCATGACCCAAACCATCGATCTTCAACCAGCCGATCCCATGTATCACTGCTTGAACAACACATGAAGGAAGACTAAGTCTCTAGGGATTCCATACCTATAACCCGAGCATACACGAGACCTAAAGCAAGCGACAAAAAGGCCATACTGGCGATGAAGCAATCATGTCCTTAAGGGACCACTAACCATCGTCGAGACAGAATCTGTGCCAAACTCCGGTAAATGAAAGGCCTCTGAAGTAATCAAATAAGTAGAGAAATTACCGGTACACCTCCGAATTAAGGGCGACGACGGGAACGTAAAAAAACGAGATCCTAGCCAAAGCAAAGGTGATATCATCTATGGACCCTGCCATATCGAGCCACCGGACCGCCAAAGAGAGAATAGAGATCAACTAAGCCTAAAAGACTCAGTCACCGGTGAAGCTATCCTCTTGACAAAGGTGGAGACATTGAATCTGAAGCAAAATGCTGCTTTTACAGTGAGCAAAACACAAGGTCCGGAGGAGGTAAGTCTTCGAGATGGTGAGGCAGAATCAGAGGAGTAGATGAGAAGCGGCTAACAACCATCTTCTCTGAGGATCCGTCATCCAAAAACAGAGATTTTCGTGCCAGTTCTATTGTTTAACTCGAAAAGAAAAAGGGGGTAGAAAATAGAAGAAGATAGAAGGGGGTAGAGGCCATACCCGTGCTAGAGAAGCCACCGGCTCCATCCTCGAACTAAGATTTGTTGATTGCGACGGCTAAGAAGATTAGGGCGAACAATTTTGTAGAAGAGACAAAAAGCATGTTATCTTTGCAAACCTATTTTTTTAATTTGCACCTAATGTTTTGTCGTTAGAGCATCTCCAACCCATAATTTCATTTTTTACTTCATTTTAGAGAAACTCTAAAATGGAGTTTTGTTTTACTCCAACCGTACTCTATTTTGGAGTACTAAGAG